AGTTGCTCAGTTACTCTCTCAAATGTGTTCCCACTTACAGGTTTTATGTCAATAGGAACGACTTCCTGTAAGTTCTGACTAAATCCTGTAAACCGGACTGCTATTGGAACAGACTATAAAACTTTGTTTACAAACCAGCGAAAGAGGAATTTTAATTATAAGTGAAAAATCAGTTTAAATTGTGTTAATTTTCAATTTGTGAGTGATTTTTGAGTTGAGGACTGCGTAAAAACTAATACAACGAAGTGCTGTGTGTTAAATTGCGACAACCGTCAAGATGCAAGAAGCGTAGTTGCAAGTGTAGCGCTGCGACGAATCGCTGCATTTTGTGTACATAGGGCACGGCAAAGCCGTTGCCGAAATATTTCTCTATTACTATATTACCAGCATTTTCTCACAATGATTTTGTTTCTGCTCCACGCAGCCTCCATTAGCAAGTTAACTAATCAATCCCGCAGAGATGCTGCTGCAGTTTTCTGCAGCAGCCTTAATTGCAAAGCAATGGAGTGCACTAAAATGTTCACTGTTCTCTAATAGATTAGGTGAAAAATGCAATATTTTCACATTTAGCAAAATTAAAACACGTTTTTCGCTGTAAAGTGAACTGCTTTGGCAGTTTCAACTCGCTCCATTCTTTGTTTACTTGTGGTACACAAATGTCAACGCCCAGGACGGCGCAATCTTGTATTCTATCATTCTTGGGAGTGTTAGTTGAGTGAAGTTGTTTTTGAAGGGGTGGTTGGTGTCGTGCGGGGAGTATCGAAATGCCGGAAATCATTGGGGATATTTAATAGGAGTCAGCACAGGTAGCTGTTGAGGCGACGACAGTTTCCAGAGCGTAAATGGTCCAAGGTAACGCGCGTCTCTCTAACAGGCTAACCTAATATTCACGCACGCCGCCAATTTACTGTCAAAAATTTCTCATGCACATACAACTTGTATGGGACCAACCGAAATTGAACGGCGTGCGTATCTGCCGTCCCTAAATTGGAGCGCTAAGCGTTGCGTTATCCATTGTCAACGAGTGTCATCGCGCGCTATACCCAAATCAACGCGTCGTCAATTTTGACGTTTTCTCATGTCCTCTCGTTTTTATTCTCGTTTCCTTTTTCACTTCTTTGTCCGTTCTCTTTCTCTTCGTCTTCTGCATCCAACTTCAGCACGTAACGCCCTGTCAAAAATGAAAATTCCATTTGCTCGGCGTTAGCGCCGCGTTATTGTGGGATGCTTCATACAAATTGTATGGGCATGAGGATTTTTGACAGTTGCTTGGCGCTTGACGCGCCAATTTAGGGATGGCAGTATGAAGCTAACTCAATTTCCAATTTTTGTTCTGCGTGACATTTTGATTTGACGTTTCCCTCAATGAAATCAAATGCAAACGCACGCAAGCCAATTTCGGGTGACGCAAAAAAACAAATTCGACGGCGTGCGTACCAAAACGCAAGCCGCGAATATTAGGTTAGCCTGTAAGAAGTTGAAGCCTTTTATGCGACGTATATACTAACTAACTTTTAAAATTAATTGTATGTAAATGCCACTTAAAAAAGAATATATATATATTTTTTGTTTAAGTATTTTCTGACTAAAGATATAAAAACGTTTATAAATTATATACATAAATGAATGCCAAATTTGTTACCTTTATTTTGACGGTATTTAATTTTTAATAGGTAATGTTGTTAAGAATTTATTAATATTTAAAAAATCCAAAAATTAAGCTTTAACGATTGATATCTTCTCTATTTTTAACTTACGCCAGATAATTTTAAAATTAGCAGAAAAATTTCTATCGAGCCACATTTTGCGTTTTTGTATAGCAAGATTGTTGATATTCTAAACTCATGTGCACGGAACGATTTATACACCGAGTGGAAAATTTTCGATGCATCGAAGCAAAACATGGATATTTGCGATGCATCGATATTTTTTCGCTATCCCTACATGAACATTGTTCATGGTATCCCTATTTGTATTGTAAACTCCGAATTTAGTACCATTTTCCACACCATTCTGAATTACTTTGTTCGCTCCTCTAATTACGATCGCCAATTACCCCATTACCACGGGCGCGTTCTTAATTCGATTGGACTGTTCCGTCTTTGTTTTTTCTTTCTTCGCCACAAAATTGATGCAAAATGTTAATAATTGCTCTGTATTTATAAATTTCCGTATTCAATTGTTGATGTACACATGTATAAGCTTTATTTTTTGCACTCAGAAAAGGTGCCAACTTTGATTTACGAACTGGTTTTGATAAATTCCCGATAAAAATTAGAGACGGCAGCGATTTGTTCAAAACCACCAAGATATCGAGACTAGGTGGATCGGAAACTCGGCCTTTCCGACTACCCAAGCACATTAAAACCCTTAGATAATAAACAATAATTGGGCGGATTGGAAACTAGGCCTTTCCGACCGCTACGAAAGCGCGACTGGTGGATCGGAAACTCGGCCTTTCCGACCACCCAGGAGATATCAAGATACGGAGTAACCCAAAAAGAATAGCGCGGATTGGAAACTCGAACTACGAACTACTATTGGAGTGCGAACTACGTAATTTGGGTGGCGTGAGAAAGCCGTATAAGAGCAGAGTTCAGAGTTAAACTCCAGTTAACGGCTCAACGTGAACATAGTATTACCATTCGTTAGATCAGCTGTTTCTTAGTCCTGCCGTATTTTATTCTAAAATCAATTATAAATTTTTTTATGACATTGGGCAAGTCCGATTTGGCGAGGAACAGTCAGATATCGAGAAGAAAATATGTGAAAAGCTGGAAAAAATATAAATAAACGTAAGAATTTTGCAATGGAAGGCGAAAAAATTTTAATGGCTGCAGGCGTAACTGTCGCTGCGGTTGTCGGAGCATTTGTTTTTTGGGGTCCTTCAGGTAACTTTAGTAATTGGCGTAAATATGCGACTTCCCAAATTTCCTTTTCCTTTAATACATTTATTTATGCATGCTTCTAGGTTCCTCACGTTTGCGACAACGAAGGGGCCAAATTGCAGGGCTGCATAATTTCGGACAAACTTGTTTTTTAAATACGTTGCTTCAGTCACTAGCCGCTTGTCCCCAATTTATAGCTTGGTTGCAGTTATATAACAACGCCAACTCGGACCGGAAGAGTCTGATATCATCCCTGTTGAATACACTTGAAGTAATAAATGGCACTCACTCTACTCTGAGAGGGGATCCCTATTCTCCAGGTGCTGTTATGCGCGCCCTTCATGCTCTGGGCTGGGTTATACCACAAGAAGAACATGATGCCCATGAGCTATTCCATGTAATGCTGGCGTCTCTTGAAGAAGAGGCTTTGAGACCAAAGAAGGTGGGATGTCTTTCAGATGCATTACCCGCAACCCTAGGTGGTGGGGATGGAGATCAACCCAACAGACCATCAAGCGCTATGTTAACGGATTTTCTGAATACCGACTACGATGAGTCAACTAACTTAACTCGTTTGGTACGTTCTGAAGCACATACACCAGATTCACCATCTTCAGTATGCGAGCGAGAGATGTGCCCCGGTGAGGGCGCAGGTACTTGTACATCTCCAACTGAAGTAATGGAGTTTGATCCGCTAGCATCTCCAGTGTTGGGTGGAGAACGAGCTAGTCGAGCACGTACAGCACAAATAAATAGGCGTCAGTGGCCAGAAGCCTTAAACAAACGTGTTTCCACATCATGTCGGTCCTTAGAGCGTCTAAGTCGTGGTCCAGGAAGGGTATCTGTAAGTTTAACGGGTATATTCAAAACGAACAATACTCATTTAGTTAATAATTACAGATTTGGTCCGATCAAATGCCAGCTCAAGTTTCGATACCTTTCCAAGGTGCAATGGGCACACAAATTGTATGCAACGGCTGCGGATTTAAGGTATGAAGAAAGTATTACAAATAACTACATACGTTCGTTTTAAACGTTTCTTTCCAGTCCACTGTACGTTATGACAAGTTTGACAGCATTACATTGAATTTGCCACCTCAACGTCGATCAGGTCTCAGCTTGGGACACTTGTTGAGCGAATACATAACGTCTGAAGAATTGAATGATGTAAAATGTGAATCCTGTAATGAAACCACCAATCACACAAAATCACTGACTTTCGCCAAATTGCCCGGTTGTCTCTGTATACATATTGCCCGAACAGTATGGCTGCCAACTGGTCAAATTTGTAAGCGCCAGGATTATGTCCATTTTCCTGAAAGTTTGTCAATGGCACCTTACAGCTTTGTTCAGCCGCATTTGAATAGTCAAGTGAGTACCAAATCACGATCACAACTAATAAATACTAAAACAAATGGTAAAATGAACATAAAATTTGTATCATATGTATGTACATAAAAAAAAAAATCTTTACAGGCCGGCACCCCATGGGGATCTACAATGTCACTTTTCTCTTCTAGTCTACCCATGAACAGTTTGGGTGGCAGTGGCATGGATTCATATAGCAGTGCTTTTGGTGCAATGTTTCCCAAAAATCTGTACAGACTTTTAGCCGTTGTTGTCCACTCGGGTGAAGCAAGCAGCGGCCACTTCGTAACTTACCGTAGAGGAGCTTTGAGAAATGCACATCGGTAGGCAATATTGATCATTTCATCGTAAATTGTTCTAATTTTGGTTTATTTTTTATCTCCCTAGTTGGTTTTACACCTCAGACACTGTTGTGCGCGAAGTTTCCATAGAGGAGGTGCTTAGCGTACCAGCATATTTACTCTTTTATGACCGTGGCCCGCAGCGACGCTAAAGTGTTTATTGGGGAGGGTGGGAAACTCGTTAATTTTGATACTAAAATCTAGTTTCTAAAGTCATTCATAACTTAAGCTAATTATAAAAAAGCCTGGTTGCTATAATGTGTAGTAGCAAAAAATATAATATTTATCAATCGCAGAGATCTGCTGCTTATAAATGTCAACCTATTAGTTGTGATAGTAGTACTGATAAATACACATATTAGGGCATGTGCATTAGACCACGTCAAAATAAAAAAATATCCCGCAATGCGACCGGCATAAGACTCAAATTTAAGCATTTGATATAGTAATGATCCTCCATGAATCTCAAATCTCTAGGACAATTGTAAGAGGTCACGCGTAGAGCATTTAGTTTTCCCATAGGAATTTCATGTAAGAAAATTAGTTCTTTTTGAGGTCAATATAATTTTCTAGGATCAGTGATAACGCCCGAAACTGTAAGAATACATTGATTACATGTCACTTAAGTACTATGCAGGCTCAGATTATTTAAATTCCTAAGTTATCCTTTTTTAATACTTTGCTCTATTTGGGTCAAATCAAGTATATAAAATTTTTATTTATTTTTTGTTAATTTAAGGAATCTGAGCAATGCATACTACTTAAATGACATGTAATCAATGTATGTATTCCTACAGTTTCGAGCATTTTCATTGATCCTAGAAAATTCTATTTACCTCAATTTCTGAGGTGTTTTTCCTATGGGAAAACTAAATGCTCAACGCGCGGATCTTACAATTGTCCTAGAGAGGGGAGATTCATGGAGGACCATTACTATACCAAATGCTAAAATTTGAGTCTTATGCCTGTCGCATTGCGGTATTTTTTTTTTTTTGACGTGGTCTAATCTGCATACATAACTTAGCTATACATCCCCTACGCAGCATTTTTTGATAATTTTATAACTTAATCGGAGCTATTGGTGAATCAATCGTTTTCCGATTTTCATGAAATCTAAGAAAACGCTAACATTGCATCCAAATTGTTGCAAAGGAACACTTGTCTATTCAAAGTACATATGAGTTATGTTGGCATGTAGGTATTCAGATTCAGTGAAGCGTTTCAGTAGATTTCACGAAGAATCGGACACGATCGTTCGGTAGGAGCGCCTAATATCAAAATGTCATGGACAAAAATATTATAAGCTCAATATTTTCAAAAGTGCCATTTTGACTAGTCGATTTATTCATGGCAGATATGGGTTGCCAATAATTTATTAAACTATGAAAATTAAATATTTTTATGGACTGTTAATTACGCTGAATAAGTTACTTTTTATTTGCATATAATTTCATCATGTTATCTTTAACAGCATTTACTACTCAATCGATGCATTACACGTTTTTTATAAGTAGATTTAAGTTATTTATTTTGCAGTTGAGAGTTTAACCACAACAACGGTCGTGGAAAGTTTTACTCTACAATGAAGTGTTTAAATTTAAAGCATTTTTTAGGTTAACGAACTTATTTTGCAACATCCGTAGAACTATATAAGATTTATTAATAAATTGAAACAAAATGCTTATTATAAAAGATAACAACCATTTCTTCAGGCGCACTATTAATGTTTATGCAAACAGAATGGCCAATCATAATATTAATAATTGAGAACATATAGAAGGGTATCAATCCACTTTACTACATTACAATATGCGAATACTTAATCTCTCATATATTACTAAATAAGATTCTTACAATTCGAAATAAACACATATCATGTATTTTTTATTGCCTGTTCGGGATGATATATATTACCTCGGCCTGTAATGATTTGAACATAGCCATTAAAATCAGTTGCATATAAATTTTTGGATACGCTGGGTATTTGCTGTGCTTTACATAAAGCATCCTGTTGACGTTTTGGTGCTTTAATTGGCATCCATGCGCTGACTGGTGTTTTATTCGATACCATCATGCTTCGTACAGCTACATTCAACGCTGTGGGTGCTAATGTTTCCTCACGATATTCGGTGATAATGTTATCAGAAATGCTCAGCATATTTGCTGCCTCAATAACGTGTTCAATATCGTCAAAATGTGGAAGATAATTAGCATGTATAAGATCAATAAAACGCTTTGGTTCTGAAGCAAATGTTTCGCTAATATCTTCTGGAGCGTGCACGAAATTGCCGTTAGGTAGACCTAGAACACCAAAAAGTATGTTAGTGGTCAAATTCGAAAATGTTTCGACATAGATTTAATGAAAATAAAAATGGATACCTACGCTTCGGGTTAAACACTCGTCCTAAAGCATGCATCATTGTTACCGATTCATCACGCCAAATTGTTTTAAGCTTAGATACTTGCTTCTTAGATTTTCCTTTATTATCACCTGACTCCACACGCTCTGTAGGCAGAGTCGTAGTTCCTATATTAAATTTACACATTTTAAAATGTTAAATTTCTTTTACTAGTTTATAATTTTTCGTTAGTTACCTTTCAATGACCCAAAGTGTAGATTTATTAAAGCATTGCGAATGTCACCTTGCGCGGCAAATATAATGGAGTCTATAACATTTTGCGAAGGGACTTTGTAGATATCTGCTATTTGCGGCTCCTTCATTAGGGTACAAAATCTCTTCATTGCCTTTTGTAAAAGAGTCAACGCAATCGGGTTAAAAGAAATATGGTTTATATGAAACTTATTTTTAAGCTGCTCGGTGAAGATGTTGTAACTTATATTAAGGGAACGAGTTTTTGAATCAGTTACTATGAATATAAGTGGCGATTTTCCAAACTTTGAAAACTCACTAAAAAACATAGGTATTTGTTTAGCATCCATAATACAAATTTTAAAGTTCATTACTCACTCTAAAACACTTTCAAGAGTTTCGGCACTTGAAAGTATTAGGTTGGGAAAGTCTTCCACTAATACCAATCGTTTTTCACCGCCCAGTAAGGATTTATATCGAGAGGAGCGAAACAAAAATGACTTAAAGTTTTCTATTTGGGATCCTATGTAGCTAGCTGTTTGGTCTCCTAAAGTATTGACTAAATCACGGTCTACTGGGTTAATCCATTCCTGCAATTCATATTTTAGTGACCGTGCCAAAACGCGTACTGCCGCAGTCTTCCCTGAACCTGATGGTCCCGTAAGTAGGCATATCTGTGCAGGATGCTGTTTACGTACGACTTCACAATGCAAAAGCCAGTTTTGCAATTCTGTAAGTTTTTTCGGATGCACCGCGATATCTTCACTCTTTACAGGCTCGAATGTATCAATCCAGTTGGAATTAGTTTTGTAAGATTTAGATACAACTGTGGATACCTGAAGGTTTTGAGGAGTTGGTGACTTATTAACGTTTACATTTTTGTTATCAGCACAGCCACCAGCATTTACCGCATCCTCTTTATCAGCAGAGGTCTCAAACGTAGATTGATATGAAAAAGCCGAATTGTTCCAAGCTCGCTAAATTGATTAAAAAATCTTAAATAGTCAAATAACATATATTAAACCGATTTTTACTTTACGCATTGCCCGCTTCATCGTCTCCAAAACATTTTATTTGTAAATATAAACAAAAGAGGGTATATTTCNTTAAAAAATCTTAAATAGTCAAATAACATATATTAAACCGATTTTTACTTCACGCGTTGCCCGCTTCATCGTCTCCAAAACATTTTATTTGTAAATATAAACAAAAGAGGGTATATTTTCCCCAAAATAATCTGCGTTTGAATATTTCCGAATTCCGAATTTGGGAAGGATTAAAATTTATCGATATAATAGGGTAGACGATATAATATTGTTTTTAATCGATATATTAAACCTAATGCTTGAAACACATTGAAAACGATGTGCCACGGCCGCAGCTTCCAATTTTATCTTCATTATCTAACACCCGTCGGGGTCAAATTCTCTTTGGTCTTAAAATGCATCGAGAAGATTAATGCCCTTGCTGAGCGCAATACAATGCAGCTAAAATAGGTACCAGGGCACATGTGTGCCGAGGGAAACAAAGAGGTCAATCAGCTGGCAGACTGGCGGCTGCCTTGACGCCGATATGACCGGTGCCCTTTTCCTTGCAGTGGGTCCCAGCACGATAAAGGAGGCGCTCAAGAAGGAAAACAACAAACTGAGGGAACTTCATTGGCGAGACATCGTCAAGCCAAGAGCCCATTAGAGTTTAAAATCGAAAGAGATACAGGCTAGTTATAAACCTCCCCAAGAAGAGGCTAAGAATAATAACAGGTATTTTGACGGGTCATTGCAGGCTCAGAGGCCACTTGTTTAGTCTGGGAATATGGTCAAGCGACTTATGTCGCTTCTGTAACTGTGACACCAGTGCACCTTCTCCTTGAGTGTGAGGCCGTTTCACGAAGAAGGGAGAGGTGCATAGGACATATCGCATGCCGTCTACAAAATAGTCACAACTCAAAATAATACGTTTGTCAGAAAATGCGAGAAGCTATTTCTTAGCACATGATAATCATATGGGCACAGGCGACTTTACCTTAGGTTTTTTTTAACAAATTATAACAAGAATTTGCTCCAGCTTTTTCTGAAAGGTAAATAAAATCTTTGCGTACATTTTTAGCGCATAATCTCAAAAATTCCAAATTTTGAGTTGTGAATCTTTTGAGGCGGTGTGCGATATATGGCCAAGTGAAGAGCACATATGTACATTCCCTGCCCCCGGGATCCCTTCTAAAATTCTTGGAGTCTCTGAGGCTGGATTCAGTGTTGTGATAAGCTCGGGGCACAATAGACCTACTGGTCGCATTTCTTACTCTACTCATCTATCTATTTATCTATCTATCTATCTAAAGGCCGATCCACATAGAACTTTCGCGTTGGCTTTGGCGCTGGCGTTGGTTTGACAGAACGCACGTTAAAAGTATGCTTGCCACTATGAACGCTTGGCTACGAATGCGTTGGTTACTAAATTAACATACTAACGACAGATAAATTAATATTTCATATCAATAATTGCATGAAAAACGATATTTCTGCCCGCATTTGACAAAAAAGGAAACATATTTCCCATAATTTCAATTATTTGCAACAGCTGACAAACGACGCATGCGAAAAGTTGAGAGTTGGGCGAATGTATACAAGGTTGTGTCGCTAGATCAGCTGATTTCTTCGCCTTACATGTATTTTGTTTTTGCTTTTACTGATTTGACAGCACACGCATCAAAAGTAAAAACAAAATACATGTAAACTTTGGGGCGAATTGAGATTTGACATAACACCTGTAATACAAAATACATGTGGTTGTTGGTTTTATATTCTTGGTATCACCTTGTATAAATTCGTCTTGGGAATACCCCTAGGGAAGCGGATAGCGATGAGCGACAAAGAGCAGAGCGACGAACGTCTTACTGCCGTCCCTAAATTGGAGCGCTAAGCGTTGCGTTATCCATTGTCGACGAGTGTCAGCGCGCGCTATCCCCAAATCAACGCGTCGTAATTTTTGACGTTTTCTCAGATCCTCTCGTTTTTATTCTCGTTTCCTCTTTCACTTTTTTGTCCTTTCTCTTTCTTTCCGTCTTCCGCATCCAACTTCAACACGTAACGCCCTGTCAAAAATGAAAATTCCATTTGCTCGGCGTTAGCGCCGCGTTATTGTGGGATGCTTCATACAAATTGTATGGGCATGAGGATTTTTGACAGTTGTTTGGCGCTTGACGCGCCAATTTAGGGATGGCAGTTACGTTGACAATTGTTCGATATTGGCGTCTGGGAGTGGAATTCATGACCGCTGTTCGAAAGTAAACGGCTATCTCTCCGAACTTTCTTGCTTTTTCACTTCAAGGAGCATAACACTATCCCATCTCTCCGAACTTTCTTGCTTTTTCACTTCAAGGAGCATAACACTATCCCCATCGAAATCAACGGCGACCTTCTTCACCACCTGCACGAGGAAGTCTGGCTTCAACTAGGCATTCACGTTGATGGCACACCAATTCCGAAGTCAAAAATTCAGGGGTTACCTTTGATAGCCTGCTACCCTTCTCTGCATACGCAACCGCAATTGTCAACAAAGTACCCAGCCACAACAAGGTCCCCAAGTCGATCGCCTGCAGCACCTGGGGGTAAGGACAAATAAACGTCGCTGACATCATACAAGGCAATTGTCCTTCTAGTTCTGAACTATGTTACGCTTGTCGCACCCTACAGTGAGGCCCAAATGCATCCTGCAAGAGAGCATAACCAAATGCTAAGGAGGATCGTCCCCCAGACTTATCAGAGGACATCTTTTCTTGTACATTGATGCGGTCCGGACATACATTGCCCAACCACTGTACCCGACCTACCGAACAGTGATCAACAGCATTTATAGGTAGTCAGTCACCACCTATCACGACTCGGAGCCCAATCGTTCCCAAGGAAGTCGGGTCTACGTAACCGGAACGACCGAGATATATTTGCCCAAGGACTGTCACTCCAGCAACACCCCCCAAAAACTCTTTTAGAAATTGTATATGCTGTTACTCGGAAGCCAAACACTTTCGCGTTACTTTCGCCCAGTTACGGTCTAGATATTGTAGCCGTCTCAACAGCTACCGGTTCAGCCTCGACCCGTGTTCTTAGTAAGTGTCCGGCATGTGGAGATTCCCCATATGACACCAGCTACCTCTTCATATGCCAGCTCAATCCCACTCAACTAACACTTCTCTCTTTTGGTCTGACCCCTTCGAAACAGCCCATTCCTTGGACCTACCGTTAGTTCAGCTTAACGACAACGATAGATGGACTAACCGAATAGGGCGGGGCTTAGTAGTGCCGCTACAAAAACAACGAAAACAAAAAATCGTATTCTTCGCTTTCTAAGCTGATAGCTGCAATAATCTTTTGTATTTCAAATAAACGTATACAAATAAACATTTAAACTGCACATTCCAAAGACGAACATCGGTACACTTTCGAAATCAAGCGCCATCGGGCGGTTGTTAGCATTTATGTACTCTGATCAGCCTAGAGATTTGGGTGAGCAACATTTTTGGTCCCAATGTTTCTTATTGTTTAAGCTGAAATTAGTCGAGAACGCAGAACGTATACTTAAACGCAGTCTGTATACGCAGAATTTTGTCGATTACTGGAGCCCTCAGTGTTGCTTACTACACTGTTGCCACTCATGAATCCCTTTTCATAAACGTACCTTTTCAACTACAATTTTTCGTGCTATAATAGATTTTAGCTAAATATAAACTACTTAGTTTTCAACAAAAACCTTATTCAATAGTAAATTTCAAATATTTTAAACATATTTTGAATAGGAACTTATAACTTTTTTACCATCTGTAAAACTGACGAAGTGGCAACCATCTAAAGAAGGAGAAATCAGCTGACACGGAAAAATCTAAATTCCGCAGATTTCTGCGCTGCGGGCACAACTACAGACAAATTCTGTGGTGTTGAGTTTTCATTTACATGGCGCTTTGGTAAGACAGATCGTGTCAGCTGACTCGGGTTTACGTACCGGTAGGTTTACGTTCTTGACTAATTTCAGCTTTAAGAAATGTATGTTTAAATAAAGAAACTTCGTATACATATATTGCCATTATATCAATTACTTCTTTGTAGACTTTTGTAAGTTTACAGAAAACCATCTTTGGAGAATATTGACTTTGTATACTTGGCAACTCTGCGTATGAGTATATCGGGAGTTTGCTCTGTGGAATTAAATCGCATAGCTGGACTAAAAATCGTTCAAAAAGTGTTAATAAATCTGATATATTTCGTTAAAAAGTGCTTAATATTGGGACTAAATACTTCCCTCATCATATGAACATAAAGTTCATTGGGAAACGTACGCTTTTAACAAGTAATCACGAGATGAAAAATCTAAATTTCTGTAGTTCACATTTACTTTTCGGTGCAGTCGTTCTACAAATTTTCCGTCTGTGCGTGTGGTGGGTGTGAGCGGGATAGCAAAATGTGCGTGCGTGCGTAAAAAGTGCCAAAGTGGAATTAAAAATACACAAAATGAGTGAATACTTAATTTGAGAAAATATCATTGAAAGATTTGCATTGTAATCAAAAAAGTTCGTGTAATTAATGCAGTCAAGCCCACCAGCAATTTATGTTTGTTTTTGATCTCCTACCTGATACATTTTCTATAGGCTAGTCCGCTTCCACCTTTTTTTTGTCAATTTTAAGTCTGGTTTTATCAAGTAGTTTGCTTTGTCGTTCATTCTTAAATACATACAAGCGGACAGTAGAGAATGCCAAACGTAGGAATGTGTGGAAGGAAATGTGCATAAATAAAATAGCGTTGAGCTTTTTTTGTTTGACAGAATATGTAATAAGTATATATTTTAAAAAATGCTTTCGTTATATATTAATTAGTCTAATAGGATTTTGAAAACCCACTTGTGATTTAATATCCAAACCAAATAAGATTCTATTCCTTTGTGTTTAATTTTAATCCTTTGCAAACGACGTATTTACTATGCACAAACATAACAGTAATATTTTCCATGAGATAACCAATTAGCTAATTGTAAATGTTTTTTTTTTTGAAAGATGGCAACCCCGAACGTGCAGTTGTCGCATTTTCCAAATCTGTACTTTCCACCGGCTTCGTTGTTTTTGTCTATGCACTATTTGTCCAACGTCTGTTATGAAGTAAAACACACGACAGGGACAAATGGTGTTGCACAGAATAATTTTGCAAACGTGTGAATTAAAGGCAGCCAAATGTCTAAATGAAATAGATGGCTAGCAAGAAAGGGAGGTCCGACGAATACGAAAATATAAAAAAACAGTATGAGAAAGATGAAAAGCTAAGAGAATGTTAACAAAGATGAACCAAGTGAAAAGAAGAGGAAATCAAAAAACCAACAAGAAAGACAAAAGAAGAGGAGACAATGAAACGAATGAATCTGAGTTTTACATGTATTTTCATACATTTTCGAATAAAAGACTTTTGGTGTAATAAATTTGTCAAAGCTTAAAATTTTTAAAGGGTGGTCGGAATTTTGAAAAGTTGTAAGCTTCTAAATAAAAGATAAATTTTTGATAAATGTGAAGATATGAAACAGTTGAAAACTAAAGGCAATAAACGATACGAAGTCACAGAACATTTTGACAATTTGGTCACAAGCGACTCGAGGAGGTTACTCGTCGTGTTCGGTCCAAATGAGTGTAGAAAGTGCAGCAAGGAGCGCGGTGGTGTAGAGCAGAACAGGGCAGAGAAAAGCAAATAAATGAAGGCACATCAATGATGTGAATAAGAGTATGGAGTAATGTGTGAAAAGTGGAAAATTTGCACAATAAAGTTTCTTAAAAAATCAATAAAAATATAAGGAGCAGAAAGTCAAGTTGAAGAATTTGTGAAAATAAAAATTTATCTTGAGCGGCGAAAGCATAATCGATTTTGTTTCTGACGCGATTAGCAACGCAGGGAAGAAAAAAGCAGTAAGAGTTTTTGGTGTCATCGATTTTGCCAACCAAAGGATATTTGACTGCTTTTCTTCTTCCAATACGACTCGAGTCTAATAAATTCTATATTGGAACCGCAGTTCGCAATGCTTTTGGAAGTGTATGTAAAAGGTCAAAGATCCACTAAAGGGTCTTAAGTACTCTTCGTACAGACCAAGGCTTTAATTGTAGCGTTTGGCGTAGGCGGGTACTGCGCTAAACATTTACAATTGGCACAATATGGACCCGCACGAATTAAAGCCTCCTGGACCGGGCTCAATAACAAATAGCACAACTCATGCTGGGACAAGTGTTCCGCATGGACAGCATCAACAATTAGTTGGAAGTGGGGAGCAATTGAATCTACCACCGCCATCTCCACAAACCAGCGGATCTAGTGGCATTAATGGTGCTGTTGCTCCTTTAACAAGTTCAATATCATCTGCTAGCACATCCGTTAGCGGTTGTAGTGGCAACGTACGTGCATTATATGGCACCGTTGCTGGTCCAAGTAATACCAATAACGATGGAGACTCGGACACGGAATCTTTAGCAACCATGTCAGCGAAAGTTAAGGCTGCAGCTGCAGCAGAACAAAATCACACTCTGCCTGCCACCAATGGTCACAATGGTGGAGCGAGTACTGCCGTTAACAATCTGGGCTTGAATGCCAAACAGCAGAGGCAACAAAAAAGGCGCCGCGAAAGAGCACAAAGATTACAAGCGGAACGTGAAAACCGTTTTGCTAACACTGCAAATAACGTCCCTAATAGCGGCCTATTGTACCACGCCAGTAGCGCAGGAAGCATGGGCGAGGACAGTAACAACTCCAATGGGAACTTTACAAGTAGCAGTAATGGTAGTAATAATGTTATGCCTCCTACTGATAGCATTGCCTCGTTGCTTCTTAATCCTCCACATTCACCCGAGTGTAATTCTGGACTAATGGCTACTCCGAGCGATAGTGAAGGAGAGTCACTTGATGAAGATCTACTATCGACTTCTTCCTCTTCGACACTCCTTTTGCCCCGCGACAAACCCCCACCGCGGCCGCCACCTCCTGTTCGTCGAAAACTGCCGCGCTCACCTGTATTAGAAGAGGAGATCATTGACGGTTTTGCAATATTGGAGTTCAAGTCTTATGAGGACCTAGAGGTAAATTAAACTTTGCAAAAATGTCTAATTATAATCATAAATTCAAACAAAATATATTCATTATTGTAGTTCGCGATAAAATTAGGGCAGAAGCGAAAAGAAAAGCGTCTGTCAGCATTGGAGGAATTAACTTGCACATACAGCATTGAGGAGACCAAAATGCCAAAGATTATAGATACAGGTCAGCCTCATCCCATACGAGGTAGCAGTGGACTAAACCTGCCTATAAATAACATAAAGGATGGAGGTCATAATATTCGAATGATGAGCAACAATATCATCAGCTCTAATTGTCATCCAGCACAGACTGTAACATCTTCCATAACTGCGACCGTTCCAGAATCTCCTCTAGATGTTATTGCGCCTGCATGGAAGAGCCAATATCAAAATTCCAATAACAATAATAATGTTGGAAGTAATTTAACAAATTTAAATAAAAATAAAAATAATTGTACCATCGTTGGAGGTAGCAACAACAACAACACATCAACCAATGTTGCGCCATCATCGTCGACGATATTAAATCATAATGGAAATAATTGCAGCAATAGCAATAACAACAGTGATGGCGCTGGAAGTAGCAGCAGCAGTAGCAGTAGTGGAATTGCCGACACAACATCCAGCAACATAAACAATACCGATGAAGATGCCATTATGACTTCAGCTGATGCAGTGGATGATAGTCGGAGCGTTTTGACTGCAATCGACAGTGGTGCGTCATCAGGAAGTTCCACAATGGCCGTAAACACAAAAGTCGAAGTAGCTTCTAAATTGAAAGAAAATAGCAGCATTAACACAAGAACCAGTTCTGCTCCAATGGACACTTCCAATATAATAAGTTCCGTATCGTCGCCAAACTGTACGATAACAGCGCCGCCGCCTGCTTCTCCATTAACAGCAAATACACATAGTTTGATGCCAGATAAGTGTAGCAGCGCTACTGCGTTGGGCAATAGTACACTACAAGGGAATCAAACTCAGCCCGTAACAGACCCTACACAAATTGGGGACGGTTATCGTAACGCATTGCTTTTAGAAGGAAAATGTGTTCCAATAAATTCGATGGCAAATAAACCGCCACAGCCACTAGAAACAGCATTTGGGACGAATAGCGGCACAAACAGTTTAAAAACGTCGAATCCTTTTGTAAATGTGATGCCGAACGTAAGTAATATAAAATATGCTCGTTTATTCAATGCATAACTTTCAAAATGCTACAATTCGTTCCTCAGTCGTCAACGGTTCAAATGCTTAACAGCAACAACAGCAATTGTGAAATGACAACAGACATGCGAATATTGGGATCGACTTTGGCGCCAGTGATTGCAACAGCATCTCAACAATCAGCGCTAAAAATCACTCAAACACCACCAAATAAGGATGATGTATTTGATCGTATACGCGACGTAAGTATATGGACGATTAATATTTTATTTAAAAATATATAAATTCCCAACTTTGTAAGTACCGTGTAGATCGTCGAAAACTTCTTAGAAAAAATTTGTTGTTTATCGTGTTCATGTCAATATTTCTCCGCAATCACAATATGTTATTTCAATTTAATTTCTCCTACATTTTTAATGTGCAACTATACATATAGTACATATCGATGGTCCTGTGCAATAACGACACTATTCAAAATTCAAAAAACAAAAACTTACTACAGTTAAGTGGCTCTTGCCTCTAATCCTTGTCTAATCCATTTCAAACCCTTACTAAATTAAGCAGTAAGGATTGCTAAAGTAAGTACAAAAGATTAGACATGGCTTCGACAAGGATTAGAGACATGAGCCACTTAACAGTAGTAACATATATTTTTTGAATTTTGAATTGTGTCGTTATTGGACAGGACCATCGANTTAGAGACATGAGCCACTTAACAGTAGTAACATATATTTTTTGAATTTTGTAATTTATGTAAAAGTATATTATTTCATTTTAAAATATCCAGCAAAAAAGATAATAGTCCTAACCAAAAAATAATAATTGGCGAACTCCGTTCATATCTGCAAAATTGAAGCGTGGAAGTTATTTTTGATGCAAGAGTCGGGGAAAAATAAACACCACATTAATAAAGTCCTCTTCGGTATTCCAATAATCTTAAGATGAAGTTTCAGTTCATTTGCACTCAAGTTGAAATTGAAAAATTTGGCCCGATTTGTGAACACCAAAACAGCTATCTAGCTTGAATCGAGAAATTTACGCAAAACCGAAAACTTGAACCTATTCCGTAATTTTTTATAGAAATAAACTACATATTAAAAATTTGGATACTGTCACACATACGGACATATTTTCATGGACCAAATAATTATTAAAATTTTAATCATCACTTGCTTTTTGAGCTTCAGTTGCAAAAAACTGACAAGTTTCGTAATCTAGTTTAGCATTCATACCTTAAGCTTTGCTGGTGTTCTTTTAAAGCCCAATATAAGCTTAAAACCAATTTTTTTAATTAATCTTTTTGTTAATAAAATTATTTGATGTATACTTGTGAATTTCTACTTTCAGGCGGGCGTCACATGCAAAAGTATTGCGACGGGGCATAATATCGTAAGTATTTCATTTTAAATACACTATGAAATACTGTGATAACTCGCGTTTTTCTCTTTACAGTGTGATAATGATGAAAACAAGGTAAGTGAGAAAAACATCAAATCTTTTATAATTGTTATGTACATATATACTATTGTTCAAATTATTACATATTTTTCGCTCTTGCGAGTGTTATATTTCAATTTTCAACACGTACGAAAATGATTTAGCTCTTTAAATTTACTATTAACATCCAATATCGATCTGACTTGTAGAAATAATTTGAAATGGTGTGGGGTGTACATAGCTCGAATTTTCTCATCTAACCGAAATAATCTCAGAAATTTGTTAGCAGATATATGCATAAAAATCGTAACTGTGTAAAGTGTAAATAAACCGGGTTTTCGTACAAAGTCGAGTAAGTTTACAAGGTTTACGAGCTTACGAAGCATTTACGCGTTTAGACTAAGTGATCTGCGTAAATCAGACAGTTTGTTTGAATAGAGAGAAAATATTATATACAGGTCGATGTGATTACGAGGGCCAAAGAAGTTCCCTTCACTGTTGTTTTTCAAAGATGATTCCTTTGTCTTCAGTGTTTCGTCAATATTTTTAATATTTTTAAAAGAGATATTCGAATATCTGATAAAAAATTGGGACACCCGGATGACTAAATGGACTTACATATATTGATCGAATATTCGGATAGCAAAATTTACGGATATTATCTAACCGGATAATCCGGATTTTATTCGTATGGACGAATATCCGAACAGATATCCGAATATGCAAGGCTTTCTTAAGAGCGTATCAGATGTGACAATCAGCCTCATTGCGAGAGTCGTGCCGAATGCAAGTCGTTTTTCGAGAGTCGAATCGTATCGAAAATTTAGCGTCATTGCCTAAAATTTCCACTCGACTAGTGTATTAAAACGGAAGAACTTGGCAGCACTGCATAGTTTTCGACAATTTTTGTCGTTTACTTATTTCAGCACGACAATAGACAATGCTAATCAGCCTCATTGCGAGAGTCGTGCCGAATGCAAGTCGTTTTTCGAGAGTCGAATCGTATCGAAAATTTAGCGTCATTGCCTAAAATTTCCACTCGACTAGTGTATTAAAACGGAAGAACTTGGCAGCACTGCATAGTTTTCGACAATTTTCGTCGTTTACTTATTTCAGCACGACAGTAGACAATGCTAATGTTGTCGAGTCGTACAATTCAGCCTAATTTACGTCTTACGCAATGAGGCTGAATGTTGTACAATTCAGTCGTACAATTCAGCCTAATTTACGACTTACGCAATGAGGCTGAATGTTGTACAATTCAGTCGTACAATTCAGCCTAATTTACGACTTACGCAATGAGGCTGAATGTTGTACAATTCAGTCGTACAATTCAGCCTAATTTACGACTTACGCAATGAGGCTGAATATTTCCAAAATTTCCACGCAATTCGCTGTCAAATTTAGAAAGAGAAATTTTATTTCGGTGTGTGAACATGATCGAAGAATGTGAGGAAGACCTTTCTGTCACATTTCGGAAATAAGTTTCAGAAATAAAAGAAAACGTATTTTCCTTGAAATTTTAAGATTTGTAAATTAAAAATCAGCAACCTTCCCCCAATGCACCAGAGATGGAGAAACCGACCCTTAGGGTCAGGTTCTCAATGTCTGGTTTACACTAACTACTTGTTAAACATAGTTATCGACGTTTACAACTCTCTGCTATACGTTATGGAGTCGATCACGTGGATAACGAAGTTTAACTTGCAGTTAGTGTTAACCAGACATTGAGAAACTGGACCTTACAGGTCTACTCTGCACGTTACCGAAGATTTTGTAACCGAAAAATTTTATTACCAAAAAATGTTAGCAGTTTTTGTCACCGCGATTGTAGGTACGTTGGTTAAAATATTCTTCAACTATGAAGAGACTATGAGAAATTGTGGTAACAAAATGAGTGTAACTTAACAAATAGTCAGTACTAATTTGTACTGGAACCTGCAAATTTTTACTGGAAAAGTGTATAATACCCAAAAAATTGGCAATAGAGCACTGAATCGAGAGCGTAATAACACGGGAGAGCTGAAATTCTTGCTAGTGAAATTTTTAATAGCAGAAATTTTAATTAGCAGAAGAAGAACAAGAATAAATGTCGAAAGCCGCATTTGTTAAATTGGTTACACATAAACAAAAGTAAAATGAGCGGAAATCAAAATATCAATGATGTACAGGACTGTTTACGTGCTTGTGTGTAAAGCAAAGAGTTCAAAACTGATTTATAACAGGTCTATTCTGCGCTGGTAATAAAAAGTTTGTAGCCGGTAAATAAAGTTCTTGTCAATTTTTAACCCTTTTCGCATTCTGTATACTCTTGTAACCGGTAAATTTTGTTACCATCTCATTAGCTGGTAACAAATGATTGCCTCGTGGAATATGCAATGCCAGGATGTGCACAATTCTTCATAGCTGAATTGCTGAATATTTTAACTGCATTATCAACGTACCTAGAATCGCGGTGACAAGAACTGGTAACATTTTTTGGTAATACAATTTTCCGGTTACAAAATCTTCGGTAACGTGCAGAATAGACCTGTAAATAGTAAAATGTTAACAGCAGAATGTCAAAATAGTGCAGCAACTGTTCACTTGCTAGTTTTTACTAGTTTTATGTTGAAAAACTTTTTCTGTTAGTTTTCTCTTCTCAATTTTACGCTCTATTTGGCGAGAAGTTACTATACACACCTAAAATTTACCGGTTACAGAATGGGAAAAGGCTTTAAAAATTGACAGGAATTTTATTTACGGAATTTTATTTTTATTACCAGCACAGAATAGACCTGTTAATAGCATTATTAAGTGCCTCCACAATTCGATTACAACTGAAACTATAAACGGAAAAAATAAAATACGTGAACGCAAAACCAGTAACAATTTGCAAGATTCATGAACAGCTGATTAAGTTTTTGTTTATGTCCTAATAAAAACAATAGTTGCGTTCGATAACAAAATTAGCCAACACCAGCCAACAATCAAAATCAAGAGAGTAAGCGAAAATTCTCTCCCAAAGAGATGAAAAGGCGAACTCATATTAGCTCTGATCCAATACTTTTCGTGAAAACGCCTGTAAAAATGTTAAACAGCAAAATTACTCTCTGAAGTGAGAGTAAAAAGTGAGTAACGAGAAAAATAGAGGAACAAAAAAGGCATTTTTCTTGTAAAAACGTCAACCAGTGATCGCTTGACACTTTTCATGATTTTACCCGAAGAAAAAGCGGGTAAAATCGTGCAACTTCATTCTCTACTTAACTCTCCAAAAATCGCTCTCATTTGCAGGATTTTGGAGGAATTTGGAGTACGGGATAACTTTTTTTGTAACTGCCTGCAAGTTCGTGTAAAAACCTGTAAGTTCATGAAGTACTGGATCAGAGCTAATGTGCACCTTCACTTTTAGTTTCAATTGCACTCAGGAACATGCGATCAGCTGTTTTTATTACTAGCAAATCTCTCTAAATGAAGTGTAATTTCCCCTACTTTGCAAGTTTTTTTTTGGGCTTCGGGTTTTGTTGGCTGGAAATTGCAAGCTTTTTGGATACATGAACAGAAACACTAATATATTTTGTGACAATTATTACAAATTAGTTGCAATCCCGTACTAGTCCGAACTAGTCAGAATTAGTCAGATTTTACAGGAAATAGATCCTGACTCGGTTCTCTGACAATTGAGACGAAAAGAGCATAAATAAGGTCCTCTCGCTGTCAGAAGTTATCAGTCAAGGCAAATTTATATAAGGTGAGTGGTATCGATTGAGCAAAAAAAAAAAATACAACAACAAATTATACTCACAATGACGGCAAGAAATACAACAAACCGCGGCGAATTCTAGTAACACCCCCACGATCAGCCTTGACTGTGTTTGACGACCAAATTGTACACAAAAGAAAAGTGCACTCTGCTAATTCATGCTGAAAAGTATTTACTTGTTTAAGAGGATTCTAATGAATTCGAAAGTATTTTTGATTATTTACATGTATGAGCTGAGCGTGTTTACATACAAAATAAGCAAAAATTTAAAACCAAAATTTGGAGGTTATGTCAAAGTTTTCAGAAGTTACCATTTTTTTTACTAGAAAGCGATCCCGTTCTTTTCAGTGTTACTCTCACGCTCTAGCGAATTTTAAATTTTTGACAGTTATACTCGTTTTAGTCCCAGGAATACGGGAAAGTAATTAAATAAAAGTTCTGTTCGCTATGCAAAAGCCAGTAAGAATTAGCCAGTAACAAAATGCAGAGAATAAGGTATCGTACTCTCCATAAGAGAGAAACTTACTAAGTTTTGCGTGAACAGGAATTAGCAAACATTTGCAAGCTTCACTGCCAGCTGGAGTCCACGGTTGCATTTCGAACATAATACAATTTTTAAATTATTTCAGGTGGAAAACAAAACAGAATCTATACGTATGTATATTTCTTCTTATTCTGACTTTCTTCAACATACAATTCAATTGCTTTGTGGACGTCACTGTCACGTTCCGATTACGAATACAGCTTTTTCAGCCACGTACCTTTCAAATGTTTGAAATTAATTAAATTAATTGAAAAAACGAATATTTTCCTTACTTAAGTATTAAGAATTCCTTCATTAGTAAATCGCCGCAAGATTGTACATTTTTAAATTTAGCGATTTTGTTGATTCAAATTGTTGTTAGCAAAAATGCAACCGGGTGCCACAATCCTGCTTGCAAATTCTTGCTGGCAAAATTTTCCCATCACGAATTTACTACTTCCTCTCCAAATGAAATGTTAAAATTGTGCTCTCTCCTTGCAAGTTCTACTAATTTTTTGGCCAAACGAACACGATTTGGTAACAATTGGTACCAACCTGTAAAAGTTTTTTGCATAGCGAACACTATCAAAAGTAGTTTTAACCCCGGCTGTCACCAAAGCAATTTTTCGATCTGGGACTGACCTCCTTGCTAAAATTAACCAACCAAATAGCTCTAACTAGAAGCATTGCATTTATGTAAATGCATATGTATATGGAAATTTAAAAATCTTTTTTTCGTTATATGAAGTCTCAAATTCTTCCAACCTCTTG